TGAACTAGACGACTGAAGAGTTGTCTCTTGTGAACTTCTGATTTATATTCAGTCTATACAGTATTCTAATATACTAGTTATAATATACAACTTGCAGTTAATCATTTCAAGTATTAGCACTGGAGACTGGAAGCCTCGAAAATAAGTCTCTAAGGAACTTCAATAATGCTGTAGACTATCTATCTGATTCTGTTAATCGTTAACACCTGTATTTGGTCCATATTAACTCGATAAAAAACACAAGTAAGAAATCTCTGAAAGGGCTATTTTTATTTTCTCCTTAAATTCACACATTTCCAAAGTCTCAAAAAAGTACACAAACTACTTCAGTTACGAGACTTTATTGCAGAGGAGATCTGTAAGTAAATGTGTGGTATCTTCCAGTACATCATTTAAAATGATCTCAATGATAAAAAGTCCATACATTTCCCTACCAATGATCGACTAAGTTTACTTACCAGATCTCCGCAACATAAGTTAAACAGAGTTTTAGCGCAGCATCCACCCAAGAATTTGCAATCTCATCCTTCGGAAAATTGTTCGGCAAAAGAGATTCATAAAAATTCTTTTAATTCTTGGTCATAGGCTTAACAAAAGCACTGCAAAATGACTAATATGGGACCTATGGTGTGGAATTACTTACCTTTATATTTTGTGGATGGAATGAGTAAAATGATATCATACTCGGAAACTATGGCTCGTGAATTCCACTTAGAAGTAATATATCTTCATTAGAAACATGACAGTCTACTTATTTCTAGTGTCGACCGTCTGACTTTCATCAATATTATTCATTCATTCCTTAGTCAGTTATTTTCCACAGTGAATGCCAAAAATCGACTTGCCCAAGAATAATATACAAAACATTAGTATTTTTTGGTATTTTCAATAAATCTTATGCATTATATCTGAAAAAATACAGTCATTGAATCAAGCATCAAGAAACGTATCCCCTTCAATTCATCCCAATCATCTACATAATCTTGATGCAGAACTTATTTATCATTCACATTTCTCTAGCCTTCTAAAAGTTTTATCACTGATAAACCAATAGAAAGCTCAGTCGAATCGATAATAACACCCTTACGGTTATATCTGCTTACAATATTTTTTATAGAAATTCAAACAGATTTGGATATAGTTCTCAAACTGGATAGCATTATTCAACATCTTTTTATTCTGTCACATTTATTTCCCCAGAAAGGCAATCGTAACAGACGACGTCCAAAGCACAGTGGGTAACCTCTTTCTTTATCAAATGTGTCTGAAGATTGGAAGTGAAGAATACATTGTAACATAAAAGGTCATCGCTCTTTTTATAATTAAGCTCCAAGTAAGGTAACGTTAACTAAAAAATCTGCATTGAAGTGCAGTCATTTTAGTCATCAGCATACATACAAATATAAATCAAGTGGACTATCAAAGGGTAATCAGTAGAATCACTTTCATTTAGTACGTGGTCAATCAAAGATAAGGGTATTTATCACAGTTTGACTGAATAAGAACAATTTGACCGACTACAAATCTGTGTCTAAATATGTCTGTCAATGTAGATATATTAGGGTTTTCTAGGCGTCTCTTAACGGAAGAGAGTTTCATATATTTTTATACTACTTTGATATAATAAACACTGGTAACCACCATGCAAGCTTATTTTGTATGGCTTTCTGGATACAGATGCCGTAAGTTCATTCACCTCCACCTACATATTTCGATGTTTGAATGCGGTCTTACTTACATAAGCGCTGAGATAACGTCGTCATCAACTTAGAAGTTTGTCTACGTTTAACACTTCCATCACTAACTTCGGTACTAGTCACCGAGGTGGCTTGCACGTGTGCTACATATTCCGAAACTATCTCTACCCCACCTTGCAATGTTGGCCGAATTTGAAATACTTTCGAGGAAGGCTAAGGATAGCCATACCAAGGCGTCGCATTAGTCTATTAGGTTTCGCATTATTCATCTAAGTTGAGTAGGTGGATGTAGGCTACCTAGGTGGGGTCTTCGACAGTATGGTAATCAATGATTTAATCCCCTTAGTCATAAATGCAAACACAGACCATGCTTGCTCAAATGATTAAAATCCTCGTTTATTTGAAAATTCTTCCTCTTTGGATGCACTTGTGTCAGCTTTCATGTCACTGACTTCTTTGCATGCAACTGTCTTCTTTGGCAGAGTGAACAGTTTTTTTGCATGCTAAGCTCTAGGTCGAGTAAACTGTCTCTGTCTGATGTCGAGCAGCGATGTAAGCTACTTTTTGTAAATTTCAATATTCTATGAGGTAGATCAACCTATCAGTAAGCTTCAAAATCTGAGTTTAGGAAATCATTGATATCACGGTTTAAAGAAATTGATATTGAGGATGTTTGGAGATGTTACTTGATTAAGAATACGCTATCTTGCATTGTAAACAAATACATGAAAGTGACAAGTGGAATCGAAACTGGTGGACAATTTGTCAAGTATTCATTTGAATTTTGAGGGAGTTGTGTAGATTTGGAAATATTTCAAGTTGTTATTCATCGTAGACTGACATCAGCTGGAGGAACAAACGAAACCTGGGAGCACTGGACAGCTGTTCCGTCCTAGCATGGGACGCCTCAGCAGTGCCCACCCACGACCCCGCCAGCGATCGAACCCGTGACCTTCAGGTTCCACGGCCAGCGCGTTGCCATTGAGCCACTGGATCAGAATCCAATGCTCCATATTTCCAACTTCTGTCAGCTCATTGGTGACTAGCTTCAAGAAGTATTCCAAATTTCCGATGAGAAGTCGTGACCGGTGGAGTCAAGCCTGGAGGTCATGGGGACAGTTACTCAACGATGACATTGGGTGGCGGTTGCGCTATGTCGTGAGCTAACTGAAGTTGGAAATATGGAGCATTGGATTTTGACCCAGTGGCCACGGACTTTGTAGGTCGCAGGTTCGATTCCTAGCAGGGTCGTGAGTGCGGACTGCTGAGGAGTCGCATAATAGGACGAAACAGCTGTTCAGTGCTTCCAGGTTTCGTTTTTTCCTCCAGCTGATGTCAGTCTACGATGAATAACAACTTGAATTACTTATTTGATAAATTCAAGATGTTTTTTTTAATCTCCTGTTGATAAACTGATCAGTTCTAAAACTTTACGAAATTGGCTTTTAGTCGCGCATAGTCACTGCAATTTTCCTACAGCCATGGATTTAAACTACCCATTGAAAATAGTTTCTTTTTTTTTATCTAATTTGTAGAAATGCGAAAGTGATATTTGTTTGATAATGACTAACCTACTTCGGTTAAAATGCTTCACTGTCAATTTAAGACTGAGTGATTAACACTGAGTTTGTAAACTATCTGAAATCACCTACTGTTATCTTAAAAGTAATAGTCTAAAGTGCAGTAGCTTCTTCAGCTGACCTGGTGGAAGTTTCCTCTTTCATCAACAGAGTGTGGACTGGACCTGTTCGAATCCCCGAACATAAGAATGTGATGGACTGTTAAAATGTAGTCGTACAATCTAACACACAATATAATGTTCTTATTGTTCCTTGATAAAGATATCAGGCATAATATTTCGGTGCAGTTTTGAATAGTGACAGACTGGCAGCATTTCCGGCAAATGTTCGTTACAGTTTGTGAAACAGTCATGTCGTGAAAGAGTTTTCACTGAAAATTTACATCTGTTCAGATGTTGCGCAATCAGCTGACTGAGAAACGTTGTAGGCTTGGAAGAGCCTATATGTGTTGTGATAACTGTCATGAATTAGTGGGCAAGCATGTTGCGGTGGAAATTGTGCGGCAGTGAGCAAACACCAGTCATTGAGAGGAAGTAATTACTTTGTACTTTGAATGTGTTTCTAGAGTTAAACATGTGATTGCTGACAGAATATTCACTTACGAATTTTATCGAGTCAGTTAACAAACTTTGACCAAATGATCCACTGTATTACTAGTAATTACAAGGGGGATGTGGTTAACTGTCCTGAACTTTCGAGTTTTGAGCAGCGGGCAGGGAATTCAGTCTCCCCTCCACCCACCGTATCCTGGACACCTGTGCAGCAACAAAATTTTCACATAACAGCCGCGGCTCACAGACCAACACATTAAACCGTACTGGATTGCGTTACATCATGTTACTGAAGGAGATTCATGCACACGCACAGTGTTGGCGAAACTGGTAGCAATGTGAATACAAATTCTGCAGATCTGTATTCCAGAAAAGGCTTAAGTAATGTCTCTAGTTTCAACCGAAGGTCCAACATTTCGATAAAGAATATCAGGTTGAAGATTTGTGACAGTTCCTGATGATATCACACTGAAAATATTCCTTTTATTATTGCAGGAATATCCACTGATTCCTCATGTATGTGTCATTAAATTTCCCATCTAATAAGCTGACATAAGCGTTAACTTTCAAGACACTACTTTGAACAAAGATGAATATCTCTGTTTGAAGTTATCACGAAGATATCACGAATTCATGAACTGGTAATTTTACAGTCGTGAAAAAGCCTAAACTGCTTGAAAACCTACTGAAGTTTGTTTGTGAACATTTCTTGTCAAAATCTGGGATCAAAGTTTCATTTATTTTTTTGCAATAATATCACAATAGTGTGTGTGTGATCTAACACCACAAAATATACGGTAGATGAATAATAATAAACAATCACAATTTTATTTCCCTACATTGAATATTTAGGACTATGTTTTAAGCTCATTTCATCATTTGCAGTCGAAGTGAGAGCAGTTTCTAATTTCACACAAACTCATCCACCTACGTGGTGGTATGCATGCATGCATGCATACATCATTCACTTCACTCATCTAAATCCTGGTGCATTACTAAAGTGCATAAATTGTCTCGAATTACACGATGAGAAGATGCTATCACTGCACTTCAGTGTGGAATTCTCAACTTAAATAGGGGGACTATTTAAACACACATAGGCTTCATGCACTTCAGTGAATCAACTTACTGTCTCTTACTTCTCTCCACCTTTACAATTTTGCTGAGGTGTCATGAACTATGTAAGTTTTCACCCCATTTTCCATATATGCTTTTGAAATATCACAATCTATGTGGTGTAGAAATTTCCATAGTTAACTCTAAATCATTTTTGAATGCAGTGTCTGTATGTAGATATGGACGAGTTGTATTCCTCATGGTAAACTCTATGTAACATCTTCATGAACTTGGTGACTTTCCAAACGTCACCATGTCTTCATCTCTATCACTTTCACAACGTTTAACTAGCTTCCTTATTCAAAGTGTTCACCAGACTGGCTCATCAATCACTTCTCACAATGCAGAGTCCAACATTCAATGACCAATTCGTCAGGATTCATTTCCACATCACGAAGATATGCTCCACTTTCGAAATGTGCATGCAAACTATCTCAAGATGTCAGTCACATCTCTCATGATGTTTGTTATGCTTCCACGGTAGTGTGATTCTATCGCTCACATGTAATTCTGATGAGAAATAGGTTTTCGAGAAGAGCATTCCCCTATCTGTAAGTTGGCAGTTACAATCAATATAGACTTTGGTTGTGAGTTAGTGTAATCGACCTTTGTTAACTGGTTGGACTATGTTCTGCATTCAAAGAAGGATTTTTGTTATTATGATTATTATTATTGTTATTATTGTTATTATGATTATGTAAGTGAGTATGGAATTCACTTCCATCTGTGAAAGGTGAAGAATGGTTTGCATTTTAACTAAAATTTCTATTCTCTAGACTCAAGTATGTCGAATGATACACTGAGTCTATACTGAATTCACCTCTTACTTATTCGTGTATCGAATTCCTCAAATAAACATTGTGATAGATATTATTTTGTGATGGAATCCCTGATGTGCATTTCCTCATGTGGAGAACCACTGGTCATGTGGATGTGTCTCGCATCTTCTGAGTGATATTGTTTCCATTGGAAATCGACCCATCCACCACACTGATGAAAAGATTCTTCCAAGTTACCTGGATGAGACGTCTACTCACTGTACTATCTGCACTTGAATGTATGTTCCGATATATGTATCGGAATCGGCTACGAAGATGTCACTCAGTTGAATTGATGTTGAATGTCATGAAGACGAGTGAATCTGAGCATGTCTCAGCAGTGAAATGAGACAATAATAATGATGCTTTTCAACCAAGTGGACAATATGACAATTGGATGAGAAGTTGTTGAGTGACAAATCTCTGACAGTGTCTTACGTTCACTTTGACCAGAACGCATAATACATGCTTTTGATGATTTTTGTGACTCAGGAATTATTAGCAGACTTCGGAACTACTTGAATTTTCTACAACATTTTCACAATATCACATTATTATATGAGTGATGGTCAGATGTGATAACTTTGAGATAACCAGTGTTGTTGGCCTCGTATGTTGCAGTGCTGAAACGAAGGTCACCTGCAGATTCTTAAATAACCCAGCAGTTTGTATATACCTGATTTTGGAATAACATTTCTCATATCTTCCTCGTTTCAACTGCCTGGAATATGAAATGATTAGTGAAGTGAAGTGCATTGTAATGGTCATTCATTGTTCACTCTTTCGTCGGAGTGTATCAGTCAATCCAGTGTAGCGAGTTCACTTATGATAAAACATCTGCTGTAACTTATTGGACAAATTCACTGTGAATATTGTTGATAGTCGGGGCAGAATTTCGAGATACATTAATCACAGTGGTAAATATTGAAGAAGACACACACTGAAGTGATGAATGAGAGACTGAGTTATTTGTGTTGAGAATGATGACATCATCGTGATACTTTATATGAACTACACTGTTACCTTGCACAAGGTGTGTAAACGCTTCTGAAGTAACACAGTGCAACTTTGAGTCACACTGCCACACAATAATGCTTCATCGACAAATGGGGGGATACTAATCTTCAACATCCTGTATGACGATATTTCTCGAAATCGAGAAATTCCACAGTATTCAGTGTGAGGTATCAAGATAGGACATCGTGTTCTCCTCCTACGTCTAACCCGTAATGAGGAAGCAATTGAATTGTGACAAAATATTGTCATGAGTCGGTTAGTGGTTACTGCTATACTTAATTCCATTCAGTATCTCTGTGGTGTGCAGGTGGATGTTTCATGAGAAAACATACCTTCACATTGATATGATTATGAGCAATAATTTATGCTCGAAACGTAATCAATTAAATAATACTGTATCACTGTGCGCTTTATATCAAATAAACAAATCTAATATGGAACTACATTCTACCACAGTGCCCAAGTTTTTCACTCATACCTTCCATCTTGCCATCCACCTATCTCTCACAGTCTTCAGTATTATTGAATCATGCGATATGCACAAGCCTAGTCAGACTCCAGTTTGTTCCATCTGAGTAGATTGAGAAGGAACCGAGAGTCGGTATATCCTTTCATGCACTCAGCATCATTGTCAAAGTATGCATTCTCACGAAACTCTGAGTTTGCATGCCTTTCCGTCTAGAGACTAACTCTCGTTTTCTGATTTACCGTTTTGCATTTCTCTAGCGACATGTGCACAGTACGGAGAGGAATGCGAACATGGCCACAAATTATGCTGTCATCCATACAAATGTGGATCACACGACACGCCAAACAAGAGTCTGTGTACCAAATGTCGAAATGGCAATGAGACTTGCTTATACCGATGGGAATGCTGCAGTGGTCAATGCATTTTCTTCCAATGCGTATGAAAGAGGTGATAAATATCGAAATTACTACCTCGATCCACAAATGTATCTTCATGAATACTGATGTGAGACAAGTGGATTCCAGATTAGTCGTAGCCGTAGTTGCAAGCTTCATTATGTTTCTTAGTTTCTGAATACACTTAAACTTATTCAAATTGCATTTTGTTTTCCAGGTTACAAAAGACATAGTTGAGCTTAATCGTCTGAGTGAGCTACTTGACTGCCGAAGGCGGGATGCCACCAGTTAGGGTAGTCTTAGATGCCTGCTGAAGTGTTTCTTCAGTGACATGTGAAAATGTTGTTGAATATCACTTGTCTTGTGAAATTTGAAGCGAATAGTTTCTTGTGTAGACTTCGACAAGACTATGAGCAGACGAGATTAATTCCATTCATGTAATGCATCTGTGCAACACATTCCGAGCAATCCGATGATCTGCGTACTTCTCATACGTGATTTTATGAAAGGATGTAAGGGTATAGGTGATGAAATTATGAAGAGTTGAATTCGGGCGGCGGAATGAATGGAGGAAATAACAATGCAAATCAATGGAGAGAAAATAGCGGTGCATGCATTTCGGTTTGAGAGTTGAAATCACTAGCTACACCATAACATGATTACTAGCATTTAGTTGTACGAAGGAACAACAAACTATTTCAAGTTGCAAGGGTGTTTGTGACTAGTTCATTGCAGCGACTCATGTTTGCATGACGATAGCTGTATTCAAATGAGGGTGAGTAGTTGAAACAGATGTATTCGCATTGTTCATGTCACAAGTACATGAAGACTGTTCAGTGGGGAAATATTTCCACTTCACGCATCATTTTTGGAAGGTGTACATGTACGTGTAGGGATAGATACTTTGTAGAGATAGATGGTGAATTAACATAGGAAAGTCATGGAATCACCCTCATCAAGACGAATCACACTTTGTCGGAGAACTGGTAGACACATTACGAATTATATGTCTTCCTAATAGTAGTTGCACATTACTCTCTTTTTGTTGTGTGTTTCCAATGTTATCGGTAGTTCAAAAGATCGAAACGTGTAGTTGTTATGGAGTAATCAACAATGCAGAATGATGCTGCCTTTTGCTTGGGTGTGATAAGGAATTAGAAGTTTAATGAAATGACTGACTGGATCTTTCTAGAATATAGACAATACTCACAGAAATATTTTCGTTCACGCTGCGTGTAAACCCCTCAGAAAACGGAATGGCGGGATTGAATTGTGTTGACTATGCTGCTCCTTACATTGGTGAATCATTGCACGAAATCATCAATCACTTGAAAGCATATACACTCTGACCGGAGGTATCTACAAATAATCATGCTGAAGTCTAAGATTCTATAGTGAAATCCTGAAGAATGGTGCATTATTTCTTCATTATCTACAGAATTCATAGTGAAATATTGAGACTGGTGAGAAAGTATTTTCTGACTGCAGCGATTCACAGATGGTTCGAGCATTTTTTGATATGTTGAGACCTAATCCACTCATGATTAACGTTTCTGTAGCAACGTTGACGATATACTGTTGAAAAGTCATTCATACAAATCTTAATTACATCCACTTGAAAAGTAAACATCTACACAGACACAAGAATGAATTTCTCATCGACACCAGTTTCAGCGCACACAAACACACACACACACCGACAACGCATTATATATTCACACATATTTGGAGCAATTCTAAATGCTACTCCAAGAGTTGATGAATTGGGGAATCAAGTACGTCTTTTATGAAATAACTAACTTTCCAGTCGACTCAGTCTTTTCAGTGGTCAGTAGGTTGACTTCTTTGTCAGTTCATATTCGTCAACATTTAACATCGCCACCATGATCTCCCTGACAGGTCATTTATGATTGTAGTACAAAGCCTTGTTCTCTTGCTAATGCATTCATGTTTCCTGCATTTACTACTTGAACACATGACAGCTACTACAGGTGTAGTCACTCGAAGTAGAGTCTTGTGCGAGACTGCCAAATGTTGAAAATTTTACTTTCACACCTGATGGGGTTATGCAAATGAGTTTCTCTCACAGACCACAATGCTTGGCCTAATCAATCACATCAGATCAAATTTCGGTGCCTGATATTTCCAGGGGATTGACATTTTGAGTTGTAACAATTATCCATTATGCAACAAAGATGACTTGTTATCAAGAATTTCCCACTGTCCTCATGCATGTACTGAACTGATAGACATCAAATGATAGACCAGCTACATGTATGTGTGCCTCTATTTCTCAAAGTTTTATAATGATATGATTTGTCTACTGACAGGTAGCAGTACGGTTTGCAAGTCTGTTGAGGAGACAGTGTTAATCAGTTGTGTTGTTACTGGTCAGCTACAATATAAATATGATGTGCTTTAAACATGCCTGTCTACTGTTGAACAATTCAAAGGGAACAGCAACAAACAAATTTATCGTCTTCCTCATTCATTCACAGTCAGTAGAGCTTTAACTCAATTATCTCTGATCAAACCGTTTAAGCTATGATTTGTGAAATCACTCTTTCATACACACTAATCATACTTCAACTTAATTATAACCTCAATAATAAACGTGACAGTCAAATATGAGTGAATGATTTTAGTTTTCGTGTTATATTGACGTTGAAACAGTGAGAAGATAGGCACATGAATGACGATTTGATCTATGATAATCTCAACATGAGGCATGTATGTTTTGCAACTTGATTAAGGTAGGAAAGATGAAGTGAAACTCACGAACAAAAGTTGTCTACATCAGGATAACTACAAAATTTTACTTGTTTGAAATATGTAGCATATTTGTTGATGACACATCAAGTAATCTATTCATACATGTAGTCACCAATTCAACAAATGAGTGAAATATAGTAGCTTTCAAATCATTCACTAAGGGTGGTCAAATGTGAGTTGAAAAGAATTCTGAGTACCTAATTGCTTTATTGATATCAGAAGTGAATTCTATGAGACAGACCTCTATTTTCTACCCCATTTTCCATACAGTCCAAATATCCTTGTAGCCAACATTGACTCATTTCAAGGCTCCTATTAGTACTCAACTTACAGTAGTAAGTTATGCTGAAGATTTGTTTTTCTACTAATGAATTTGAATATCTGCTGCTGTGATTTGTTGGATCAATTCAATTAATTCACTTATTGAAGCCATGAATGAATCCATTGTGCATCTATGCGATCAGATGTCTGTTTGAAAAGCTCAGGTATCGTGAGGATTAACATGACTACATGGATTGAATTTCTTCTCTACCAGTGACACTGACTTCATACTGCTACTTTGAATCGTTACTTGTTAACTAAGTATTTGAAGTTATTCAATTACGCATTGGAATGGAATACTTAAATTTGATGCCTGAAATTAATAATCCTTGTAGAATATTCGGTAGAGTCGGAAAGGTTTCATATACCAATTTCCCCTGATTTGACTTACATTGACCTCAGAATTACCTCATATGTGAGCAACTTGAGGTTGATATTATGCTTATGAGAAACCGACTCCTGATTTTCATTGCTAGCCACTAAGTAGACAAAGATAACGAACGTGTCGTGTTTTAATTGACTTATTGGAAGTGGTAGCATCACTTTGTTTAGCGGTCTATTTAAATCACTTTTTCAATCCACCTAATCTGAAGAATCTGTTAAGTCAGTGAACGACAGTACTTGACAACTAAATACTCATGTATTAATCATCATTTAAATGTATGGCAACGAAAACAAGGAAGTAAGTTTAGTCTTCAGATGAGAGGAAAGTAATGTGTGAGTTAAAATTAGCACAAGTATTTCCCTTATTTCGAGTCAGTATTCATGACGGAGTGATATCATATGGAGAACCATTAAAATCCTGGTAGATGCAGTTGAGAGAACAGGTCACCTAAAGGTGACGGATTATGTAACAAAGATAATTTGTTATTGATAGTTTTCTACTATTCTTATGCGCTTTCTGAAACACTTTTGTTACATACTAAAATGATACATGTTGTAGGTTGTATGTTGTAGGTCGTTCTGTCTTTTCTGTCCTCTCTTTATTCAGATATCCTCATTCACATTTATTATTTGTTAAAAGGAATTCAATTTAGTAGTCAGATTGACGCATCACAGGAATATCAAAATACGTTTTTGCTATGAACTTATTTCCCTGAATCTGAAGGTCTTCAGTCTGATATTAGCATGTACGAGTTGAATCCTTCTATTCATCACACCTCAGCATAATTTCTACTCACATTATTATCATCATCATATCTCGTATTTGCAAACAAACTGGGCTTTATGAATAAATTGCTTTTCGAAGAAGTGAACTAATCCTTGATTGTTTCGCTAGTTACTAAATGTGGAGAAACGGTGGTTCTGTACATTTTATCAATGTGTTATCTGATTGGAGGCAATCGGTTCGTCCTATCTCTCACACTTGTTGGTAATTTCCTCTTACATATCCAAACTCATCACTCACTGTGTCTGTCGCAGACGCTGAAATCAAGGTATCGCAGTTGTGACTGACCACGTTTAAGACAGGACTGAAGCGCAACCAATTTCGTAACTCATACTCCTTACAATCATCTTAGAGTTCTGTTGTCAAGTTAGCTGACTCATTATCGTGTTCAGCTTCTATCTATAAGATGTGGTTGAAGCAAACTGACAGAAAGCCTTGGAGGCTAGTTTCATGATAGTCAGTTTCCTAGCCAGCAGCTTACACTGAGAAATGATCTGTAGAATCCCATTACCACTTATAAGTAGAAAAAATGAAATTGGTTGTTGTCCATTGATGGATTATAATATTTATTTGAGGTATTGGTATAGCTGCAGATCTTAGAGTTGAGATAAGCCAGTTGTAATCTAGCTTCCAGTATATTATCAAAAAATTTAAAAATCTGTTGGAGAATATTTGTATTATGGAGGAAGATTTTAAAGGTGTTATGTTCGTTGACCTAAACTGTTTAGTCGTGTAGCTTTCATATTCATTCCAGATAATATTATGAGCGCAAACTTGATGAAGAAACAGTCTGCAGCGTTTTCTCCATAAGCAGCATAGTAGCTTGTATTGATGACCTTGTGCATGA